ACTCTGCTCCAGAATTTTTGACTTTTAAATGCAACCCACGATGCTACCTTTTTTGCATCGGACCAGCTGAAAAAAAAAACCCTGACTGGTCCATTTCTACGTCGAATCCTTTGCGGGTCAGCCTGATGGGTGTTGGGGCCGTTTCCAGGGTCACCCATCTTCTGAGATGGCTTTTGGCTTCCAGAAAACTTATATATATATATATATTTTTTTCTGGACTTGCAATGTGGGTTCGTGTGTCTTTTAGCCTCAGCGTTTCTTTTTTAAAACGACGGCGGTCCTCAGACCATCATTCGGGGTTTGTTTCTCCTCTCAAAAAAGTGGCGTGCAGTTTGGGGGCAGCCGTAGGGGGTCCTACCTAGGGTGGTCTAGCAAAGGGGGCCTCTAAAATTACCCAGAACCACTAACAGGCTTCCTCCAACAGGACCCCAACCACCACATCAAACCAACCGATAAATGCAAGGTTGTCGTAACACAGATTATATCTCTCCTTGTCATTAAGCCTTCCATGGGGGGGGGAGGCTATTTTGAGCTTCCAGTGACACACACACACACAAACACACACACACACACACACACAGCGGCAAAGCAATTAACCGAATTGCAATCCCAATTACTTCGGCCTATTACCCTGTTTTTTTTTTATGCGAGAGGTGGACTTTGGCAAGCAGGCTCAGACAGAAAACCAACTGGTGCAGTTGTGCCGTGGTGCTTATTTTGCCCTCTGGGGAGTCCTGCCCGGCGCAGAAACTGAAAAGATTTAAAGCTGAAGGGGGAGCAAGCGGTCCCCGCATACTTGCAAGGAGAAGAAATGCTTCTGTTTACTGGTGGAACTGGTTCTGCCTTTTTTTTTTTATGATGATGATGATTATGATTATCGCCGAGCTTGCTCTGCTCAACCCGGTGAGGAATTTGAGGCATTGCTAAATTCCTTGAGGAGAGGTTTGCAAAACAGGGCACGGCCCGCAACGCCTGCCTGCTTTGGCTGCCGGCCCAGCGAACATCATCCTGCACATCTCTCGCTTTCTGAATTTTATTTCTTTCTTTCTTTAATTTTTTTTTATTATTATTATTATTTTGGCTCCCAACAGCCCGGAGATCTAAGAGTGGCAACCTTTGATTATCTCGCAAAGGCTGTCATTTCGTAGATCTGGGGCTTTGGGATCACGTCTGCCCGCCTTGGTCTTATCGCCAGCCCGGAATCTCAGTTTGGTTTTTGGTTGTTATTTTTTTCTCCCCGCCACCTCTGGGAAAATGCCCAAGGCAGAGTTTGGGAAATCAGGAAGGGCGAGAGAGTGGAAATTAAAATTTTGCAAAAGGAGGCGAGGACGGCTTGGCGGGTCCGAGGTTTTATCTCCTGCCTGCTTCTCCCTGATTAAAGACAGAAAAGACCCCAGCTACAAATATATTTGACGTCGGCAATTGGGTGGTTCCTCTGATTTCTAAGAGCTTATTAATTTCATGCAGACTTCGGTCGTTTCTTGAACTAGGCGAGTTGGTGGACCTTGCCGTTTTCTTGCAGATGTTTCGTGATTGAACTAGGTGATATCATCAGTGCTAGAAGAGAATGGGGATTGTGGAATGGAGGAGGAGAAGGAGGAGAAGGAGAAGGAGAAGAAGAAGGAGAAGGAGAAGAATGATTGTGGGGTCCTTGGTGCTCTCTGAACTTGGTGATTTTCTTGAAGATGTTGCATGACCCAACTAGGTGACATCATCAGTGCTAGAAGAGAATGGGGATTGTGGAATGGAGGAGGAAAAGGAGAAGAAGGAGGAGAAGGAGAAGGAGAAGGAGAAGGAGAAGAATGATTGTGGGGTCCTTGGTGCTCTCTGAACTTGGTTATTTTCTTGAAGATGTTGCATGACCCAACTAGGTGACATCATCAGTGCTAGAAGGGAATGGGGATTGTGGAATGGAGGAGGAGAAGGAGAAGGAGAAGGAGAAGGAGAAGAAGGAGAATGATTGTGGGGTCCTTGGTGCTCCCTGAACTTGGTGATTTTCTTGAAGATGTTGCATGACCCAACTAGGTAGCATCATCAGTGCTAGAAGCGGGAGGAGGAGGAGGAGGAGGGGAATGGAGTGAGGAGGAGGAGGAGGAGGAGGAGGAGGAGAATGATTGTGGGGTCCTTGGTGCTCTCCGAACTTGGTGATTTTCTTGAAGATGTTGCATGACCCAACTAGGTGACATCATCAGTGCTAGAAGCGGGAGGAGGAAGAGGAGGGGAATGGAGTGATGAGGAGGAGGAGGAGGAGAGTGACCGTGGGGTCCTTGGTGCTCTCTGAGCTTGGTGATTTTCTTGCAGACGTTGCATGACCCAACTAGGTGATATCAGGGCACTGAAGTCTTTGCCCAGGCTAGAAAGAAATATCCTGGGTGACGTTTCACACGCTCCGTGGGTTAAAATTGAGCTACTGCCTCTCTTGGCTCGAAACACATGTGAGTTGTTTTAGTTAAGAAGAGTTAATTGGAGACTCAGATCCTCCACTCCGACTCTAGTATGATTTATTTTCTTAGGCTCCCGGCCAGAAAAACGAACAATAATCCCTGATCGTATCACCTTCCTGGCCCTTTGATAAGTAAAGCGTGACTGGGTGTTGAAGCTGTTCATATGCCTCCGGGCCTTTCCTGTCATGCCTCTGAATTCGATCAACGCTCTTCTTGAGATCAAGATGGATCCAAGGCTCAACAAATCTTGGTTGCCAGGATGTAAAAAAAATGCTGAGACTATAGAAAGAGTGCAGAGAAGAGCAACAAAGAGGATTTGGGGAATGGAGGCTAAAACGTACAAAGAACGGTTGCTGGAATTGGGGATGTCCAGTTTAATGAAGAGAAGGACAAGGAGGGACAGGATTGCAGTCTTCCAGTATCTCAGGGGCTGCCCCAAAGAAGAGGGAGTCAAGCTGTTCTCCAAAGCGCCTGAAGGCAGGACAAGAAGCAACGGGTGGAAACTAATCAAGGAGAGAAGCAAGCTGGAACTGAGGAGAAATTTCCTGACAGTGAGAACAATTAATCCGTGGAACAACCTGCCACCAGAAGCTGTGGGTGCTCCATCACTGGAGGTTTTGAAGAAGAGACTGGGCAACCATTTGTCCGGAATGGTATAGAGCAGGGGTAGGCAACCTTGGCTCTTTTATGACTGGTGGACTTCAACTCCCAGAATTCCTGAGCCAGCATGGGGGAACTATGGCCCCTGTTAGGACTCATGGACTTCAACTCCCAGAATTCCTGAGCCAGCATGGCTCAGCTTGGAAACCTCTCCCTTTCCCCTCAGCATGGCTGGCTCAGGAATTCTGGGAGTTAAAGTCCACCAGTCATAAAAGAGCCAAGGTTGCCTACCCCTGGTATAGGGGTTCCTGCCTGAGCAGGGGGTTGGACTAGAAGACCTCCAAGGTCCCTTCTAGCTCTGTGATTGAAGTGTTGAACTGTTGTAACTCTACCTGTAACTCTACCCTGCCAGGAAGTGCTTCTACAGGGACCTTATTCCAGTGGGAACTTGCCTCTGGACGTCTCTCTCTCTCTCTCTCTCTCTCTCTCTCTCTCCAGGAATGAAATGTGCACCCTAAACTGGGCACCCCACCCTACCCCACCCGAGGGAGCATGGCACAATTAATTATTGCGTATGGTTGCAGCATAAAAATATTGCTGCATCAAGCACAACGCCCAGCTTCTGCAGGAAACGATGGTTGGATAGCTGCAATCATATAAACATAGCAACAAAACCATCGAGAGATATCAGATTGTGATGCAAAGACAGTCCTGGTCTAGCAACCGACTTAGCAACCTCTGCAACTTTTAAGAGGCGTGGACTTCAACTCCCAGAATTCCCCAGCCAGAATCTTAATTCTGGGAGTTAAAAATCCACCCGTCTTAAGGTGAAGAAACAGGGCTGGATGAATAATGTCTGGTGTCTTTCCGTCTATCTGTTTACCTGACTCATTCTACAAAACCAACTTATTAAGCTTACACATTTATAACGATCGCCTCATCTTGTGGCAGGGAGTTCCGTTGGTTGCGTGAATTTTGGGGTTTGCTTTCGATCTCAGCAGATCGGCATCATCAAGATGATCTCAAGTTGCAATATAAAAGGGGCAAAAGAGCATTTTTTTTATTTAAAAAATCATATTATTGGTCCGTGAAAAAGTATTTATCCTTTTTTGGATTTTTCTGAAGGGATAACCTGGTCAGATTCCACC